GAATTTAGAATCACCAAGTCATAGTGAATTTAATGGTAAATATGAGGAATTTGAAATAGGAAACTGCAACAAATGCAGCACAGTCAAGTTCTAATTAACCATTAAAATAGCTTAGGCAAGGAAGGACAATAAGGATTCTAGGTGCAGTCTGACCACATTAGAGCTGCAGTTCAGTGCAGCAGAGCACAGTAGAACTATAGCATGAAATTTTCATTTTTTATTCAGTTTGAGAAAATACACTGTAAATAAATCCTGTAAATACAAGGTAGAGCATGAAAAAGGAAGGTGACCCAAGGAGTATAAAAGGGAGACCCTTTCTGCGATTTTTCGCCCCCCTCAGAGAAGTAAGAAAATAGAGTATTATTTTTCTCAAGCATTTCTGGTTGTCACTCCAGCACGAAAAAGTGATATACAGTTAAGATTGCCACTGTAGTAAAAGGCAGCAATTAAGGAGAGAAATATTAAGTAGATATTTCAACAGGAGAGCTGGTTAACACTCCAGAATTCAAAGTGTAAACACAAAACAGTTATTTTGCTACTGTTAAAACAAGCAATAAAATAAGACAAAAATAAAACAAACTCAAGGGACACTCCAGACACAATCTAAATCCATTAACTGAGTAGAATCTTTGAAACTTCACCAAGTAGAAGATTTAATTCAAGTTAAATTCCAAATTAAACAACGCTACACAGAATTACACCTAGACAAATTAAAGAAATTTCAATAAAGGAACAGCTCCATGGGGCTCGGTTTATCTGTAAGTCAATTCCCAGAAACTTTTAGACTAACCCATAAAAATAGAATTAGCCAAAACACTTGGATTGGTACTATAATTACAACAAATATTACTAGTACACTTCCTCATCCTAACTAAAGAACCAGGGAACAGCTTGGTGGTGGTCTCGTTTGAACCTCCCAACTGACCTTCCTTTGTTCTCTCCTTCACCACTAGTAAGTTAAGCGAATGAATAAGAATAAAACAGTATTGGCCAAATGGCTGAGGAACTCAAGTGGTGGTGGAGAAAGAAGGAGGCGCCACTACGGGGCCATAGATGGGAACTACTATTGGTGCCGCTAAGTGATGGGCAATGGCACGATTAATGGGAGCGAATAATGGGCGCAAGAATGGGGGTGCAGATGATAGAAGTGGTAGAAGGGCAGGGACTTTGTGGGGCCATGACACCCTCCCCAATGTCATACTCAAACCCACCTATGATGTACACAAACCCACACCCTGTGGCATATTTGAACGCCCCACCACCGCCACAGTACCCCCCTCCAATGTATGCACACTCGTTGGTGTACGAATCTGCCCACGCACCACCAGTGCGTGGGCATGCTCCCTCCAGTTGCGGCCACCCCACGCACCATGTCCATTACTCACACTGTCATCAAGATGAGGATTCATCCATGAACGACGCTGACATTGAGACTCGTCACTACAACGACAACTATCTCAGCGATGATGTCACTGTCGACGCAGCAAGGTCCACAACGACTTGTAGGACCACATCGAATTGCACATCTGGCTCTGGCCCATCCGGGTCCATGCCACATAAACAGATGAGGAACTGATCCCCTCATATCCCTACCTTCATCAACAACAAAGCCGTCATTGATTAATAACTTCTTACCTTCATCAACAACAATGCTGTCATTGATTATCTACTTTGTACCTTTCCTCTTTCATCAATGACAACGTCATTGATTATTCACTTTCCTCTCTTTCGTCAATGACAACGTCGTTGATTATCCACTTTCCTCTTCATCGATGACCTCCACTGTTGACATCATCACTATCGACAATGGTATTTAATAAACTCACAACGACGAGAAAGTCGTTTCATTGTCAACAACCCTGTTGTCAAGATCTGGGTGCATATGTTCCAGGAGAAACTCTAAGTGGGCTTCACCTACAAACTACTATTATAGCCTCCTGCAATGAGTGTGCCCCCGTTTGCATACATCTTTCATATGTAGAATGCCAAAATTTTATTTCCTTAAAATGCTTGTTTTCCCCTTGTGTATATATGCTTGTACCCTGTCTGCGATTTAATATCGCAAGGGAGGAGGATGTGAGGCCCTGGCCCATGTCTATATTCCACCCACAACATCAATTGATGTTGTGTTGTCTAATAATTATGTTGTGACGCTAATTTAGCGTTGCAGAAGCTTCTCTATTTATTTGTGCCAAGAATGCATTAGAATGTATATAAACCCTCAGGGTAGCTGTAAAAGGCGGATGAGCCTTTACTTCTACCCCATTAATATACAGCCCATCAAAGTGTATACTTAGATGGACTAACTGAGGCCTGAGGCAAACGGGGGAACAGAACGTACCGTCCCCAAAACAAGTAAGATAACCTTTCAGGCAGCTGGCATGTTGAACCAGACTCCTTCCCAGTCGCTCACATGATTTCTCTGAGGTTTAGCTGCAACTTATGTTGCCTCTGAAATCTGTCAAGCAACTGGTACAACTTGCAACACGTGATGTTCCCATGCTAAGTTGTAATGAGTTGTACATAGGTTGCAGAATATAATTATTAGTATTTATGCATGCAGTCATTGCACCCAACCCAATCCATGGAGACTAAGGGAGCACATCCAGGGTTGTGAAGTCAATATCCAGGTGTGTGCGAAGTTTAACAGTTTATATATTACTTGGTTACCAGTCACTTGTTTTGCCCAGTGGCATAAGTGGTACAGCATTAGCTGAGGCTATGCAGTTTTTTAAGTGGCACATGTTCAATTCTCACTTAGGAAAACTTTTTTTGGGCCCTCCCATGGAATAATTGTGTGAAATGGTTGTTTTCTGTACACTAAGGAGTGGAGGGTATGAAAAAAAAAAGTTTTCCTAAGTGAGAATCAAACATGTGCCACTTAAAAAAACTGCATAGCCTCAGCTAATGCTGTACCACTTACTGTACTCACACGACCAACTACCGGTCACGCGTCACAGAGACCTCCTGGTCCGGTCGAAATTCAGGGTCTGTCACGCGTCACAGCTGGTTGGTGGTTGGGTGTTTGGGTGTCACGCCAGTTTTGCTGAGGCAAGGTGGCTGTGCAAGGCAATTCAAATTTTCCATTTCTGGAATGTATTTACATTCAAAAACAGAAAATTTTCGTTTGGTCTTCCAAGTTTCTTGTGTGCCTTGCTTGCATTCCACGGCCAAGTTCCTGCTCATGAATAGGCACAGGGAGTATGTGAACCTTGTAAATTTGTTTGGAGGACTGGAAGTGTAAACTGGATAAATTCAGTGACAGACAAGTTCCAATCTGGAAAGTAGGATCCAATAAAATCACCTGGGATGTCACTATATGAGATAGTCTCATCCATACACAAAGCAATGCGGTGTGCAAGGGTAAAACCGTTCATGAGATGATGCACAGATGCTCAGAAATTTTATGGGGGTGGTGTTTTCAAATGTTTAAATTTTAAATTCAAGGTGGTTAACAATTTAATATAAGTAATATAATTCGGACAACTCCGCAGCGCCCTGCCGGTTGGGTGTCACGCATCACAACGAGTTGCCGGTTGCCGGTTTATATCACGTGACAAGTCACGTGGCTGACTAAGCCGGTAGTTGGTCGTGTGAGTACAGTATGCCACCAGGTGCAAATAAGTGACTGGTAACCAAGTAATATATAAACTGTTAAACTTCGCGCACACCCGGATATTGACTTCACAACCCTGGATGTGCTCCCTTAGTCTCCATGGGTTGGGTTGGGTGCAATGACCGCATGCATAAATACTAAAAATTATATTCCGCAACCTATGTACAACTCATTACAACTTAGCGTGGGAACATCACGTGTTGCAAGTTGTACCAGTCGCTCGACAGATTTCGGAGGCACCGTAAGTTGCGGCTAAACCTCGGAGAAATCATGTGAGCGACTGGGAAGGAGTCTGACGTTGAACACGAACTCGCTGTATTAACGATTTGGAACTATGATCTCAACGCGAAGTTTGTATCATGTTAATAGAATGCCACATATTCATCTAATGTCCGCAAGAAAGGAGGGAAGTTTCTTCTGTGTTTTGTACCGCGCCTGAGTTTGTGAAATTGATGTCCGGCCGAAGGCAGTTCAGCTAGTTCTAGTAATAAGCAGACCGGTCGGAAACGAAAGATCATCGCAAAGCAGATATGATTTAAGACCGTGACGACCGACTGGAAAACGGTCCTACATCGATTATCAGGTCTCACAGAGACGGCGCGGCGTAAGATCGGGAGCATGGCGGAACGTTGCGTCAGCTCTCTCAACCACATCTAACGCAGGACTTGAGAATTCGTGATTGCTTCAAGCACGGGCGGTTTCCATATTCAGCCTCGATCATTCCGACATGGTTCACCTAATTTCCAGGTTTTTACCAATTGTCGCCAGGGCCAATATTGCAGGGAATGGAGATCCCAACCAGTATATTTATGGTTGCCACTCACGCTTAGCGCTACGACTGGTAAGACCTAGTCACCTGCTAACAATGGGCCCCGAGATCTATCTTCCACGTTCAGTGCTGCCATATGCTCTTTTATGTGTTGGCGGGTCATGGATGCGTGACCTTGTTTTTGCGACTTGCACATCAGCGAATAGACACTGGAACTCATTACCGGTGCACCACATGGCGCGCGATGCTCATGTATAAAGGGAAGAAGTGGGTCGATCCCAATGGGGTATTAGTCTGAGCAAGTCAGACTTCTCAGAGACTTAGCCGGCACCCTTTCGTTAGCCACACTCTCGTATTTTGCGACTTGTTGGTTTGGGCTTGTTCCCGCTTGCTCCTTCTTGATCCGCAACGTGTCTCCCCGCAGCTACGATATCCTACTGGGGTGAAAGGGGGGTAAGTGTCTAGTTGTAACCCATTCCTTTCTTTCCTGCGGCGCTGATGCTTCTCAAGGCTCAAGTTCTTTGAGTTTCTAAGCCTCCTGAGCTGTTGTGATTACTTACTACACTTGCTACCTGCAGAGAGCTGCAGATTCCAACGTCCTTGCGAACGAAAGTGATGGATTTCAAGAAGAATATCACGTCTCATCAACGTCTTCTCCTCTTAACGGCATTAAACCTTTTAATCTTCGTACATGGCGCTTCTTCAGCTTCCTTCCCACCAGCACAGTCGCCGTCCCCTCGCCGTCTCCTTCCACCTAGTAGTACCCATTCTTCGCCTTCTTCCTTTGTGGGCCTAGGTTGCAACTTTGTGAAGGATGTATTCAGATCTACATTCAACAACTTTTACGTTGATAACGGCAGCCAGCTTCAAAATACGGAACCTAGCAGCGCTCCCACTTTCTCTCCCACTCCCAGTCCGCCCCTCGCAAACCAACAACCCCAACGCCGCCGCCCTCCCTATGCAAAGCGTGATGCTTTCTTCCCTCGCGATCCTGGTTCTAGTACGACCACGACGACAGCGATGACGACGACAGCAACGACGGTCCAAACGAGCGTCCCTAGCCCTTCGAGTCCTTTAAATGCAAGAATCCCTAATATCGGTCCTCAAGCTCCGAAACAGGCTTGGTGCCCAAGTGAGATTTTTTGTAATGGAGAAGTAAGTTCTCATTTTTCTTCCATCTCCGGGAATAGTGGTTCTGTTTGCTGATTCATTATTTACGGAACACCCTTCTTTCTTGATTGCGCCACTTCCATAAACACGGAATTGGCGAATTGGCGATTTGATAGCTTCTTCAAACGATCAACATTGCACAGCTGTACTCTGATTCGAAGACGTTCGTGGACAAGCCTACAAGGCTTCCTTCCAATCGGACGCTTGACGATTTTTACGGTATTGTCGGTGTGGGACCCAGTCCCAATCCGAACGTGACGTATGGGGAGTTGGTCAATTTCGTGGATGCTGATTTCGTGCGTTTCCCCGTATATCCCCAGCTCAATTCTAATACTCACCCCCTGCACTTACGCTACGAACGCTTACATGTGCGCGCATGCATGCATGCATGTGTGTGTGCCTGCCAACTGACCTGACAGCAAGGAGAAGGTCTCGAGCTCATCCCGCTTTCACAGCAAAACACCACACCTTCTTTTTTATCTCCTCTTAGGATCCCTGACCCGTTGGTATTGGGGTGGTCGGGAGTAGTTCATTCGTATTGGGGTGCGCTCGTGAGGGGGACCGATCCGTCTAAGCTATGTACTGGAGGTGCAGCAGGGTGCGAGAGCACGTTGATACCGCTTAATCATACGTTCGTCGTCCCCGGGGGTAGGTTTAGGGAGCAGTATTATTGGGATTCGTATTGGATCGTTGAGGTGTGTTTGTGTGCCTTTTTCCTTTTCTCTCCCTCCCCCTTTCCTTCCCCTCCTATCGCTCACTTTCGCTTCACTATACGGCATGATACAGGGCCTCCTCCAATCGGAGCACTATTCTATCGTGAACTCGACATTGCAGAACTTTATGGATGAGTTGGAGATGATTGGGTTCATACCGAATGGAGGGCGGAAGTATTACTTGAATAGGAGTCAGCCTCCTATGTTTATGAAGGTGTGTGTCGTTTTTTGCGTATCTTGGTCGGCCTGCTCCTTTCTTCTCTCCCCCGTCCCTGGAAGTGGTGACGACAAGGGGAGCGAGGAGCCCTTATCGATCGAAGCGATGTTAATGTGGCGACGAACCGCTGAGATCGAGATCTCACCTTTGGATTTGCTTGACGTGCCTGATCGATATGACTCATCAATTGGTTTATTTATTTACTCACTTTTTCTTCCCTGTCATTTTGGGGACAACACATTGTAGATGCTTTGGGCGTACGTGAACGCTACGGGGGATGTGTGGATTTTGAATAGAGCTATTCCTCTCGCTGAGGTGTGCTTCCTTCTTCATTCCTTGTTTATGCCATGGCTCATTCGATGCACGTCCCTTCGAATACTTCCGCACCCTATCTGGGCAATCATCGGAAATGGAATTTGGGATTTGGGGGTGGGGGGCATGTTTTTAGGTGGAATTGGCGTGGTGGGAGAAGAATCGGACGATTAGCGTTAGGTCTCCATATACCAGGAAGGCGTGGGATGTTGCGAGGTACGCGGTTGTGAACAGCGCGCCTAGGCCTGAGGCATGTACAACACTCTTCTTTTCTCCTCTCTCCACTTCCCAACTTATATTTCACCCACTCGTCACTCGCCACTGCCCTTGGGTGGGAGCGAGTATGGTGATGTGGTCGGCAAGAGAAGCACTCTTAACTGACTAATCCGTTGGTGTTCCTTTTTTTGGTGTATCATAGGGGTTCTTGCAGGACTACTTGGCTGCGAATGGGCCTGATTTGGTGGTTCCGTATAATGAGAGCCAGAAAGCCGATTTGTATGCTGAGTTGGCTAGCGGGGCTGAGAGTGGGCATGACTATTCGTCTAGGTATGTTTTATGGTGGATCCGCCTGCTTTCAGGAAGAAATGCTGATATTTCTGTCTCTGTTGCCGTCGTCGTCGTTGTCAGATGGATTCAACAACCTTTGCTTGGGAATACTACCAATACGACTCCTGCGTTGAGGACGTTGAACGTGAGGAAGACTATTCCTGTTGATTTGAATAGCGCTCTTTGTGAGTCTTTTTATTTCCTCTTTTGCTTTATTGAGCTCGAGAGGGACACAAGGCTGATGAGATGAATTAGACAAATATCGTCTATTACTTGCGGATCTCTACGACCTTCGAAAGAATGCGGCAGCTGCAGACCATCAGCGAGCCTGTCATCACCGTCACATTGCCTCGAACCTCAAACAGGCCATCCTAGATCTATTCTGGGATCCAAAGAAATTAGCTTTTTACGATTTTAATATGACGTCCAATGCGAGAGGGACGGTGTTTACGCCTGCTGCGTTTTGGCCTTTCTGGAATGGAATCATACCGAAAGAGGTACTTGAGAGCGAGGATAAGGCTAAGGAAGCGTTTGGGAGTGTTAGGTTGGTTCTGAGCAGGTATAATGGGACGTTCCCGGCTAGTTTTTTGGTCAATGGATTGCAGTGGGATGCGCCTAAGTGAGTTCCTTTGATTTAATTTCTTTCCCCTCTTTTCTCAATTTTACCTTCGTGTTTGTACTGTTTTTAATTTTGATTGGTAGTGCATGGCCACCTCATCAGTTCATTATATTTGAAGCACTCAAGTCTCTACCGAAGAGTATTACCAGCAAACCGTTGACACCATTGTCAGCGAACGTTTCGTCGTTCTCACTCATTCCGAAGGGCCAACTAGGATTCACTGAGAGCGAACTTCCACTTCAACCTCTCGATAGGGGTGGATATGCGAGTGGGGATATCAATGAGGTCGCTGTCGCGCGTGGTGGTGGTACAAACGGGACTACTGTGGTTAATGGTGGGAATGCAACGACGAAGGAGGATTGGGCTAGTGCGCTTAGCAGGGAATTGGCGAATCGGTACATATCGAGCGTCTTTTGTTCTTGGTGAGTGCCTTGCACTTTTTGCCACTTTCTCTTTCTTGGTCCATTTTTCAAATTGTTTGGCACTGACCTTTTTGTTCTCGTTGTGTGCTTATAAAGGTACTCGACGGGTGGATCAATTCCTGGTCTTTTGGATCAACTTCCTCCTCAGGAGTTGAATGCGACGAATTCGATTGGGAGTATGGGACATATGTTCGAGAAGACTAGCATGTTTGATATTGATGTTGCGGGCGGTGGTGGAGAGTATACCGTACAGGTAGGATTTGGGTGGACCAATGGTGTCGGTATGTCGCGTTTTACTCCCGTACGGTTGATCGCTCAATATCCTCTTACACCCCCCCTCTTGGCTAGCGCTGTACTTTGCGTCGAAGTACGGGAAGATCATCGACAGGCCTCATTGCCCTGCTATCCGGATTACACCTACAAATTCCACGACGAGTAATCTTTTTTCGAAACCATACGCGCCATTTAAAGGGATGAGGATGGTAGGCGATCCTCTGTGGAGAAAGCATTAGCAAGTGGAAGAAGAGTTTACCTTGCTTTTGATGATCAGTATTGAGACGAAATATGCATGGTGTATGAAGCATGGTTTGCTTTTTCTTGTTTCTCTTTGCTTCTTGTCCTTCGCACGGGGATAGACCACGGTTGTCCCCGCTGTTTGACAATTAAAATCATATCGAAGTAATGTTGCAGTTACACTCTGAGAAAAATGTGACACCCCGGCCACACCAACTAGAACATGGTGGTGGATGCATGGATGCATTCATTTTAAACTGGTTATCTGTGCCTCTCGGCATATAATATAATGACTCGGGTGAAAGGTGGCGAGAGAAAATAATGGAAGAAAGATTGCTTGTGACAATGGATGGGTGAGACATAGAGTATCGGATGGTATGGAGGAATGAAGAACACATAAGAACTAAACCTAAATGCCCCACCCAGCACGTTCCGCAACGCTCACGTGCATGCGAAAAGAAAATGTAAAATACGATTCCAAAAGCAACCAGAGTATTTAAATTGTAAATATGAGTCTAAGCAATGCGTCAAGTTGACTGTCGTTCGTAACCACGACCCAACCTTCTCAACCCCCCCAACCACCCAACCACCCAACCACCCCCTGACCCAATGCCCAACCAATTCAAAATTGTATAGACACATAAACACACAACTGCCCAACCCGACCCTTCCCAACCCCCTAACCCAACACCCAAACCCCCTACCCAACGCCCAACCGATTCAAAATTGAATAGACACAAACACACAACCACCCGACCCAACCACCCGACCCAACCTCCCAACCCCCCGGCCCAACACTCAACCCCCAACCCAAATACTCTGGGTGCCAAAGAAAAAAAAAACAACGACAACGACAAAAAAGAAACAACAACTCTGAATCGAACAGGAATCCTTAAAGCAGGATGGACCAACCAAGGCTCGGTCTTAACCATTAGGGTAAAGAACCACCGATGTCGGCTGCCGTTGAAATTATAAATATGTATTATCACAGACAATACAAATTGTGAGAAACCAGAATCAGTTACATACAGAAAATAAACAATTTCTTCTCCGAAAACAAAGAAGCACGTGGCCATTCACGTGCTCTTTGTGGAACGCGCTGGGTGGGGCATTTAGGTTAGCTCACATAAGAGGGTCATATTTTAACCACTGAGTCACATGTAACGGGGTTAAGAAGTTCATATCCGATCATCTGCGCATCCACCGGCTGGGTTCGAGCCCGCCCTCAGTCCGGAAGTAATGTAGAGGAAAGGGAAGTAACTGACATATGGTGGCCCAGCACCCATATATTTATACGCTGCAATAATATGTATTCTGGGGCAGACTCGTACCCAGTCGGAGGAGCTCCGTGGACGCGCAAAATAATAGCTTTTACGCAATGTAAATAAACATTCTCACACTGGTACTCGACTGCTTCCGATGCTAGTCACGTTCTGTACTCAATACAGAAGATCACATGGTACGGAGTTAAACAAATATCCGATCACCTACTCCGAAACTTAGCCTGCGACACTTCGCTCCTCTGACTGGGGCAAAATGTAGGTGGCAATGCATCAGAAACACCCAACTCTCACGCTAAGCCTGAATGAGTTGTACATAGAGGTTGCGCAATGTAATTGTTAGTGTTGACACATGCAGTCATTATACCCAACCCAACCCATAGAGACTTGGGAGCACCTTGAGGGTTGTGAAATCGACAACCTGGGCATGTGCGGAAATTAACACTTCATATAATACTTCTATAGCATTCCATAGTTGGTGCTTTGTAGTGAAGCGGTACAAGCATGAGCTGAGGCTATGCAGCCTTTTTGGCTGTGGGTGTTCGATTCCCACTCAGTGAACCTTTTTTCTCCTTCTTTACTCCTTAGTGTAAATGGGAAGTGTTACAATTATTCCTGAGACCATACAAAAAAGGTTCATTGAGTGGGAATCGAACACCCGCAGCCAAAAAAGGCCACATAGCCTCAGCTCATGCTCGTACCGCTTCACTACAAAGCACCAACTACAGAATGCTATAGAAGTATTATATGAAGTGTTAATTTCTGCACATGCCCAGGTTGTCGATTTCACAACCCTCAAGGTGCTTCCAAGTCTCTATGGGTTGGGTTGGGTATAATGACTGCATGTGTCAACACTAACAATTACATTGTGCAACCTCTATGTACAACTCATTCAGGCTTAGCATGAGAGTTGGGTGTTTCCGATGCATTGCCACCTACATTTTGCCCCAGTCGGAGGAGCGAAGTGTTGCGGGCTAAGTTTCGGAGTAGGTGATCGGATATTTGTTTAACTCTGTACCATGTGATCTTCTGTATTGAGTACAGAACGTGACTAGCATCGGAAGCAGTCGAGTACCAGTGTGAGAATGTCAGGGCACACCTGCCTGACCCAGTTCCACCCAGGCCCACCCGGGCCCACCTCACCCGCTTGTCATGACCAACAAATCCCGGGGCTCCGTCAGCAGCAAGCCAGTGCCGATAGGCAAATCCACCAACCTGAAACCCATCCTAACCAGCCCCCAACCCCATGTCTGGCCCCCTGCCTTATTGCGTGAGAGTTGGCCAATAATCAGAACCTAGACCCTGCCGGTATTCTGACCTTACCTCCAGTTCCTGAGCCCTTGGCGCTCCCAGCATTCAGTCCCTCCAGTTCCTATGCCTGCCTTGTCTCCATCTGAACCACACTCATTGCTTCCTGCTTTGTGGTCACAGCCATGCCCCGCTTCCGTGCATTCCACACCCTCTGCCCACTCCACACCCTCTGCCCACTCTGCACCCTCTGCCCATCTCTGCACTCTCTGGCCACTTCTGGTTGCCCTTGACATCTCTGGTCAGGTCAACACTCCCACTCCCCTCTGTACCTCTGTTGGCCTTCATGCTGTCCTTGTGTGACAGTGCTGGCAGATCAACCTCTGTTTGCGGACTTGTGTCGGCACCGCACCACCCCGCTTATTTGTGGACTTGTATCGGTACCGCACGCTGACCTCCGCTTTTGTCCTCTGGCCATTTTTGTCACTCGGCAACATAACATTCATTCCTTGCCGAGTGCCTATTATGTTCACCCCAATATTGGCATTTGATCTGTGTGCTATTGCACTTTCCTATTCATTCATTTAATCTGTCAATATTGGTACTTGATCCACTTTGACCTTATTCATTCCTTGCCTCCCATTTCCCAGGTTCTTGTCCTTGGTTTAGTTTGACAAGTCCCCACTCATTTCCGCTTATTGCTGCACCGGACCGACCAGTCCCTCTTTTGATTTCTCTTACCTACTTATGCCTTGTAAATACTTTCAGGGACCTCAGTCTGAAATCAACTAGAGTACCCCCCCTGTCTGGTCTGAGTCTCTCCTTCTGCAAAGGGGGCTTTCCCCCCTCCAAGTCCGTGCTCACGGAGTCTGCACTCCTCCTACAGGTCCGCTCCACCCGCAAGTCTTGTTTGAAGTCTGCTGTGAGTGTCAGTCTGTAAATACGGGATCTCCCCCAAACGTCAAGCTCAGGGCACAGCACTCCACCTGAGTCACTGAGGCTGCGATCCCACTCTGCTAACCTTGAACAGCACTTCTGGATGCGCCGCATATTTCCGCCTGCATATCTGCACGCACGCTCCAACAGACCTCTGCATCACCTCCGACCTCAACTCAGACAGAACCCAATCCATCTTCTATCCGCCTCCTGACAGTGTTCCGACTCTGACAGTCTGCCCGACTCCGACAATAACCCAGTCTCTGACACTGCTCCCCACTACCCATCCTTCCTCCTTCCCTTTCCTCCCTTTTCCCTCTTTCCTCTTTCTCCTTTATTTCATTCTCCCTTTCTGTTTATTCTTTCTATTTACACGGACCACCTTCCCTTGTATCATTGTACTGTTGACCCGTCTGGCTCAGACACCCCAGACGACTTCCCACTACACCTAGCATGTGTGCCTGCAGCAGATGCCCTCGGGATCCCCCATGGGGACACCCGGATGGCTGTGGCTCTCTCCATAGATGACATGGCACCCGTCATGTGACCCAAGCCGCATGTACATAAATGTACCTGAAGTGGGAACTGAAGAAGTAACCTTCTTCTCACATTTTCCACTTCAGGTAAGTAGTGTAGTTCTTCCTTTTAATAACAATTCACGTTTTCCACTTCAGTCTAAGTGGCCAGGGACTACAGTCCCAGATCGGGCCCATCAGTATGCACACCCGCTTCGCTCCCTGAGAGGGTCCCTCTGCTGGGCACTACATCCAGGCCCCCTCCACCCTGGATGCGTCCCTGACAGAGAACGTTTATTTACATTGCGTAAAAGCTATTATTTTGCGTGTCCACGGAGCTCCTCCGACTGGGTACGAGTCTGATTCTGGGGGTTTTCTATGGGCAGCGCTGATGCAGGCACTTAGCCACCCATAAATATTCCCCGATATTCCAGTTTGGTCCATACATGTAACTCGCATTCCAACAGGATACACGGTTCTTACACTGAGATTGAACAACAGTACAACTGAGGGGATCATCAATACAAGGTGGGTTATTGGTGTGTAGCGTCATATAGCTCTTGGTGACGAACGGACATTGTCAGCAGGCAAGATGGAGTCCTCGGGCGGCTGGCATGCTGTGCCAGGCCAAATGTCTGGAATCAACCGAACAATCGGCTCGCAGCGCAACAACGATGGGCAGGAAAGCACTCCAAGCAATGGCATCTGACCCGAAGCGTGAATGGATCACAACTAAACCTAACCCCATCCCCCAGTACAACCTTCGCACGACACATGGTTTGTTCTCCTCGAAAAAACCCCTTCAAAAAATGAGACTTTCATTTCAAAACTGGCTGAAGATATATCTGGGAGCACTATTTTCTTGAGTAAATCACGAATTGAGCTTCAGTGAATTTTTTGATATTGCGTCGATTCATGCCTGCTGGATATGGATCGTAACAAACCACTTATACATCATAAGGAAAAAGAAAAAACCCATATGCACCGACAAAAACACAAAAACACGATTTGCATCGGGGTCTGGTTGGGACATCTGGTGGACGGCATCTAAACACAGACAGACAGCAGGGAATTGTCTGGTTAGGGTGTCTGGTGGGACTGTTCCTATGCTGGGCTGCAAGTGGGTGCATGGTGAAGGGGAAGCGGACCATCGAGAGTGTTGAGTGATCGAGAGTGTTGAGTGCATTGAGGGTGTTGAGTGCGGGGAGATAGTGATAGATGATACTGATAGAGGCAATGTTAGAATGTTGATAAGTGAAAGAATCATATAATCGGTAGTGACATAGCAAATGTATAACCTCAAGGAGAACAGAGGATTCTCCTATCAAATCTGGTGGTAGAGTGTGTACATAGATTGTTGCTTTTCTTGACTATTCTTTGGCCATGTCCTTCCAGGGCTGGCTTCGTGAAGGGCTATGGTTTGGACATAATTGTGGAGCACGGGCACCACACTAGTGAATAGGGGCATCGAAGTGATTGACTTTGCCCATTTGGAACTACCAAGCTCAGATTGCTTGGTCAGGATTTCAGTTGCACATACAAGATCTTCAATCAGTTGGGATATCTCCTTCTTCTTGCTGATTGTCTAATCATGTAAGTCGGTGTCAGAGAAATCATATGGTATGTTACATTAGTCTTGCCTCTTCGTCCTCTGATTCATAACTGGCATCTGAGCCAATCGAGGAAGATAAGTCGAGGATGACTATTTGAGGCTGCAGGAATAATATTGAATGTATATAACAGTAATATGGCAATATAGCGCTGACCTTCTTATTGGGGGGCTCATTGCACATGTGATCACACGAAGGGGAGCGACTGCGCTTTGACATCAAGTTACTGGTCAAACAGGTTCTCCATGCACCCTTCGATAACTGCTTTCATGAGTCCATCCAAACATCATTGCCATCCATGATTGACCCTTCAATTTTGGATCCGCCATCCCGGATGTGTGCGAGTCTGTAGATCGGAATTGTGCGACGTGGCGACAAGTTTCCAAAGAAATTTGGGGGAAGTGGTCCTTGTGCCTGCACTGCCTGGACAAGGTGTTTGCATAAGTGCTGTGCCTGCAGCTCTTGGGTACCACACCAACATGTCCATTGCTGGATATCTGTTCCATAATCTTTCCCACTGGATGATCGAGTTGCGAGAGAAAGCCAAGATTTCTTGGCTTGGGTTTGGAAGGATGTTAGGGGGGTTGTGAGGCCTAGGTGATGTTCACCATCTAATTCAACAGCTTTATTGATGATTTCAGGTATGACGTTCGTGATCATTGTATAGATTGTTTGATCAAGTCACAGCCAGTGCATGAAGCCAAGGTGGGTATGTTTGGGGTATTGCCAGTGCTTCTCTGCGGTCATTGTTGTGCAAAGATGGGGGAGGAGGGACGGTGCACTAGATTGTGCCCACAGGACCCACATTCCAGGTGCATACCATTGTGACCACATATAACCCCATACATCTGCTAACCCTCTTTTTACACAGAATGTGTACATCTTGCACACAGATTCTTCATGTATTTGAATTGCAGTTTGGGACACACCATTACGAGTGGGGAAGAAGGGGTGCCGACAAAAATGTCGGGTGATGATTGAAAGGAGTTGTCTACAGTGCGCAGTGGGACAAAATTCGTATTCCGGATCTCTTGATCACTTTTCATCCACTTCAAGTACCCAGTCAGGACCGTCCTCTTCATCTGTATCGTCCATGCCAAGCTCGTCTATGTCCTCTAAGCTCTCACTGGCCGGGTTTACTGCATTTTGGGTGAGTGGTTTGGAGTTGAAGGCTTATCCACATTCATGTACTGCTGGATTTCTCACCAAGCGCTTTTGTTATAAGCTTCCTAACATCACCAGGTAGTGAGTTGTCACCATCCCCATCCTCTTGGCCTTTGGCCACTTCCTCAACTACATTCTTGACTTGTTGTGATGTAGAAGGAAGGTTTGTGCCAATCAATTTGCCACCAATCTTGAAAGAAATCCGTGGTATAAAGGCATGGACAACTTTTATGTCTGCATCCTGTCTCTGGGTGCCCAAATTTTTAGTGTATGTTGAGATTGCTGGCAGAATGGTTTTATGGACCACATCAGCAGGGAGTTGATCTCTCTGGGAAACAGGGACAAAAATCGGATTGATGAATGGGAACTCAGCAATAGTGCATGCTGCATTGTATGGAGCAGGTTGATGGCGCAAAACTGAGAGCCACTGCTTTAAGTACATGCCAGAAGCATAACTGATGCTTGGCCTTAGGAAAGACATTATGGAAGGCATTTATTTCAATCCGGTCCTTGTCCAAGTGAGTGGCTTTCACATTTATATGCCACTCATCTCAGAAATGGCCCAACCAAGTGGTGAGTACAGCCTCCTTACTCTCGGTCTTGACGTCTTTTGATTTTGTCCTCATGAAGCACCACCCAAGTGGCAACCCCGAGCCCCGAGCTTCACCAAGTAATACAAATAATTCCCAATTTCCTGTCGCGCACTTCCCTAAAGGGAAAATTCAGCTCTGTGTTTCGGACTACCAGGAATCACTCACAAGCTGAGTCCATTATTAATTCTCTCACCCTCTTACTCCATAATTCTAACACCACTGGAATGGAGAATGCAATGCACTCATAGTCGCTATTCTCACCTAGATCAATAATCTGGACATGTCGTGGCATCCCATCCTTCTCTCCATCAGCACCTGCTGTGGTAAGGTGAGCTTGGGCCTCGACGATGGATGTCAGTTGAGGGGGAGTTCTGCTACCACAGCGAACACCTGGCACGGGCCTAAACCTTCACGCGGTGCCCCTGTTTAAAACTAATTAGGCCTCTAACATCTGAAGGGATGACGTGGCCACCGTGGTAATGCCAATCAACCACAACCCCGTAAGCCCAGAGCCGCACTGGCTGGAGAGATGCAAGAGCGTGGGTGCATGTCCCGCTGTCAAGCCAACCCTTCCTTTTTCTTCTCACCACTACCTTTTTGGGATGACGAGTGTAATAGTGGCAACGCCAATGGTGACCTCCGTAAGCCCAGACGGGACTGGCCAGAGGACTGTGGGTTCAAGTCCCACTGTCACCCCAACCCTTCCTTCTTTTTCTCTTCTCCACTACCTTTTGGGATGGTGAGGTGCAATAGTGGTAGCGCCAATGGTAGCCTCCATAAGTCCATGGGCAGGCCGGAGGAGTGCAGGTTCAAGTCCTGCCATCACCCCAACACCCTTCCGATTCATCTTTCTCTCCACTACCTCTTAGTGACGAGGCGCGATAGTGGTAGCGCCAATGATAGCCCCATATGCCGACAAAAAGTTGACTGCAAGGAATGCAGGTTCAAGTCCTGCCGTCACCCCAACACTTTCATTTCTCTCCACTACCCCTTCTACCAAAGGCCTATCTGCCACATGCCTTTATTCAACAAGCATGAGCAAGATGCCACCAACACCCATCGCCTTTCGCTGCCACTGGAACATTCACCAGCCTACCGTGACATAAACCCGTGAAAGCACCCTCCAACTCACCCACCTGCAAGAACCGCGCACTCAAACATTGACTTAACCATAGGCACACAGCAGCAAAACATGCGGCCCCAACACTGGGGGTCGCGTGTCCTTTTCTTTGGCTCTATCCAACCTCTTTCCACCTCCATTCTCTCTCACCCGTTGTTCAATCTCAGTGCAGGGGTCACATGCCCCTTTATGTGTTATTGCTTCATCTCACTTTATTCTCCTTCACACCATTGATTACTCGATGTCTCATACTTCCTAGGTCAAACAAATTCCTTTCTTCACATCCTTATGTTCTCCAAACTTTTTTCACCCGAGTCACTATAGTACAGCATATGCCGATAGGCACGGTTACGTACTTTAAAATGAATCCATCCATCCATCCATCCAAGGTGAGCTTTTGAGGAGATTACAGGGTCCGGATCAAGCCTCCAGTCTTTCATCTTCAAGGAGCGCTGTAGGAGAAATAATATTCAAAGAATAAAACAATGATCTATCAGAATAGTCAACAAACAGGTGACAAGTTCAGACATTTAACAGATCTCATGATCTTTATGAGACTGGACAGACATTAGAAGATCATTATAAATTATCTACACCCATGTAGCATGAGATTTAATCTACTACAAGTATGCCTAGAACCTGGCATAGGTGTAATATTCAAAGAATATATCCCTACAACAAGAAAATAGCACATAGACGGCAGAATAAGAAGGAACATTGGGAAAGAAATGTGAATATCTCAAAAACCAGTAAACTTTTGACTGTAATCTTTTTACCATCTGGAAGGACTGTTTCTAAACTTTATCCACGGTTTCGTTTCATTCTAAAAGCTTCAAAACTGACGGAGATATCGCTCAAAAGGCGAAACACCTTATAATTCATATATATTTATTTGCTAATTCTTATAAAAAGTAATGTGACTCAAGGGAAATATATTGGCGCCCAGAAGTCTGGCAGACCGAATACCATATGACAGAGTATTCCCCGACGCGGGCGGACAGTTTTTGATCGCATCAGAAGAGGAGAAAATGCTAAAAAACTGGATCTTGTATATTTTCCCATGATTCATCAAAACTTTTTGATTTTAAGCTCAAATAAATCGGAACAAAGGAATGATTGATGATCTGGATCTCGGATCATAAGCTTAAAGTGATTCAGAAGTCCGCGGATCAGTTAATTAATTGGGAAAGCTCTAGAACATTAGTAATGATGCGGCTTCACAAAAAGGGGTGAATTAGAGAACAGTCTAGAAAGTTCCTTTATAGCTGAGTCATTTCTAAAGATAACCGTTTGTAATTAAGGCGGTGTAGAGCATAGCTTTAGCGCTACAAGACCCCGCTAAGATGGGCCCAAAAGACAAATAACTGAATTACTTATTGCTGAGTCATGTCCTAAGTCCATTATTAAGCTTACACAGCCCAAGCCCCTATATCATTCTAGAACTATCTATAATACAAATGTAGCACATGTAACTAGTGCGAGGCGTGGGAGTAGAGAGGCCTCTGAAAAGCATAAAAGGCCGCCGCTTCTGCCCCCTCTCAAACCTCAGGTAGAAATAAAAGTTTAATTCTCCTCACCAGTGGTTGGTTCATTTGCTCCAAAAGATAAAAGCAAATATTAGTTGTTAGCTAATATAAAACTAACATGTCACTCTAAGCGTGAGTTAGGGTCAGTTAGACACAGCTGAACAAAAGTGTCATAGTGAGAATTAGTGAGAATTTGGTGGAGGGACTTCTTAATTGAATAATCTCTCAGCAATACTTGGTTATCACACCACAGGAGAAAAGTGAGCGATCCTGAACCTGCTAGATAACTAGCATGCACTCTAAGCGATAGAAAGAGCAGTTTGGTCACTCCTGTATTGAGTAACATTTATTGCGGAATTATTTTATTAGTAGTTTTCCTTCAGTAAATTATTAGGAAAATCACGTCCTACTGAAAAGTGGTATATCTAGGTGTAATATTGACTAGAAATCATAGTAAAGTCAATATAGAATTTTATCCATAGACGATCTATACGTCAGGTGAGATCGTTGGGGGGTGTTTTAGACAGTGAACAATTATATATTTGGCAACCAAAACACAGTCAGTACGCAAATCAGCACAAACTCTAATATTGTTATTGGACATAGGAAACTGGTTACATAAGGTGATCCAGCTCTGCTCCTTCAGCGCAGAAAGACATATATGGAATCATTGCTGAAAGGGGCATCAGGGAACCTCTTGCGGGTTAGCTGCCAGACCTGGCTGGAATGGGAGGTAAGTTTCTCAGCCAAATAATAATTAGACTAGCATTCACATACATCCTTTAGTGGTTTATCTTTATTTTTTTCAATGATCTCCAAGGCTTCCAGTGGTAGTCGGGGAGTGCGGAAAGGAATATGGTCATCCATGTGTGCAATGTCAATTTTGGCAGTGAGTAATCCTTGAATTACTTGAAGGGTGATGTCCAAATGGCTGTTACATTCAAAATAATCTATTGTCTGTCAGTCTTGTTGCTTGGATGGATCAGTGATTTTCCAGGCCTTCTGTTGCAGTTGGCGATCCTGAGTACACTGATACCAAAAAAGGAGAGCAACTTGCTCTCCTTTCTTCCCAACGCGCTGCTTGGTGTCATGGTACCTAACATAAGTGAAAGTCCTGTTTGACTGCTTCAAAAATGATGCTGAAGATATCATACCTCCACAAGTAGCTGAGTATAACACTGCACTGAGAACTTATCATATTGGCCTGGTCCCTATATGCACTGCTTCCTTCTTTGCTCTCAGGGTCCATGTCCAGGATGTCATCGTTGCCTGGAATAGTAATTCGGATGAACGGAAAGGCACCCTCTATGTGGAAAAGAATGGTGTGGGTGAGAATTTCTCGGTCGTTGGCTGAGCATAGAAATCATGAAGTGTTGGCAGGGTTTCAAGGGTGCTCGCAAAAACTTCCTCTTTATTAACTGTCAAGAGGTAGAGTTTTTTTGCAGCATGGACAATGTTTTTCGCTCATGTTGCGTGAGTTTGGTAGTGTTTGTTTTGAAGGGGCTCATAGTATAGGTAGTACAAAAATTTGCGGAGGCAAAGTCAGGAATAAACTTTTTTTTTCCAAGGAGAACAAGCATGTGTTGTGCACATGACCTCCCAAAGGTCATACTGGGCAGTGTTGGGCAGTGTTGGGCAGACATGGTCCCAAATGGTTGCATGGTCCGAAGTCCGAAGGTCTGATTCAGTAGACAACGTCTTTCCCATGGTCCAAATTGTCCCATCAGTTGTCTGTCAGCTAAAGCCAGGACCTCGCTAGTTCAATGTCAGCAGTGTCAGCAACAAGTTTCGCGGAAATAGCTGCAAGGTGATCACATGAGGCTCAGGTTATCCCTCATCTGGTTGGAAATCGGCTACTTCCGTATTTCAGACCTTGAGACAATGGACCCTTGTCGGAAGCACAATCAGACCAAAAATGGTCTGATTGGTGGTCTGATCGTGTCAATGCCAACACTGATACTGGGGGATGGGGTTAGGTTTTGTCCAAAAAAGTTCAAATCCATGTCAATATATTGCAACATGATGCAATGACCAAAACAGATATGTGGTGATGCAACAGTTGCATCGAACACTTAAACGTTGCAACGTGACCCATATATTGCAATGCAGCCAATCGGTTTAAATACATTGCAACGTGATCCACTTGGTTTCAATACATTACAAAGCTAATGCATCATATATGTTGGCTCACATAGGGATTGAACACACAACCTGCGGACTAGCGTGGGAACATCAACTATATATACAATTACCATATTATAGACACTATATTACCGCTCAGCCAGCAAGCCCTTACTACTAAGCAATCAACCCTTGGCTTCTCATATAGATATAGTAGAGGGATAATGCATAATAAAGACACCGAACCCAGCTTACATAGTGAATCATGCGAGGATATCAGGGAGACCAGTGCATTGCTGCATCTCCTTTCGGGAATGTCCGAAAGGTTGAGCGGGTTCTCACTCATGTTAAATCACGTGACTTATACATGATCACATCCGGTTATTGGATGACCATTCAATTAAATTACATTCTTCGCTATGCTTTATTATTATTTCCCTTAATCTTTAACTCATATTATCCTTGGCTACTGTCTATAGGTAATATAACTGAGATCTCACGCTATAAGACAGAGCGACTGTATAGATATAATTATCGGCACAGTTTAACACAAGAGGGATAAATACTGGGAAAATTTTACAGCAGAGAAACGGCCCGGAATCATGTGAGGAAGTTGTAGTATGGATGGTGCAGGAAGTCGAGGCGATTGCAACGCAAATTTTATAATGAGAAATGGTGAAGAATTGGTGGAGATATGAGGAGTTTCAGCCACATCTGAGCTCCTGCTGCGCGTGCGTGGGAGACTTGGTGCACTGGGATCCCTCAGACTTCAGAAAATGGAAGAAAATACTATTGTTTATGTATAAAATACCCGACATGAAGTACATAGTTTGGGAGCATAGAAAAAAATGTAGTTGGCAAGATACAACCACTGCACTTCGCGCCGTTTTCGGTATTGTGGTCACATGGTCCAATTTGGTTCCGCACATATCTTGGCAACTAAGAGACTCAACTTTAACATGAAAATGATATATAAAATCAAAAATAAAACCTATTGACTAAAGAAAAAAAGCTCCCAAGATGGTGAAAAACCTAAACCCACTGCAAACCACAAATGGCTAGTTTATGTGGTTGCCGAGATATGCATTACTTTTTGTTGAGCCTTCAGCGAGTGCGGAACCAAATTGGACCACGTGAGAACAATACCGAAAACAGGCTGGTATCTTGCCTAGAGTTTGAAAAATACATTTATTTTGTTGCTACACAAATATGGGGTCATTTACAGTGTCATACACCATGAAATGACATTTGATACACCCATTGTAACAGTGAGCTAAGGCATTGTGATTCATTGAAATGCATTGCAACGTACTGCAACGGGCATCACGTGATGCAGCGGATTTGTAACTTTTCGGACAATTACTATGGATCACAGTTTGACACGCGTCCCTTCAGCTTCCGAGCCGGATCCCGTGCTTGGTTACAATACATTTGTTGGCTGAAAAGTCCCCTTATACCTATAGGCTGAAGGGCAGCAAGTGGCCGCTAGCGCCTTCTCTCTTGGTCCACTAAATCCTATCCCTTCATGACTCCAAGCTATATGTTCATCCTCTTCAGTGCTATAGCACTGTCTATTTGCTTGCAGACTGGCAATGTGGCCGACCCGGTGAAGGCATTGCACAATCTTCGGCGGTGGTGGACAAGCATGTTTGAATTACTGGAAACTCGCCTCGGGAAGGGGGTGTCGAGCATTGTGGATCTACGCGTTGAGCGGGATACCTGGACAACAGCTATGACGGCTTCGCGTAGTTCTCTGGGCGGGGCGCTAGCGACGAGTTGGCCTCAGGCGCCCACCATTCCCACGTGTGTGCCAAATTCTCCTTACCCGTTGGATGCGCCGTTAGTGTTGCAGCCACCAATAGCACAAAATCAAACTTGGTGTCGTAGCGAAATATTTTGTCCGGGGTCTCCGGTGCGTTCGTTTCCTGCCCCGTCTTGGTGTTGAATGAATGTCTATGTCAATGGCTAGATATTACAAGCGATTAACCTAGCGGGGCTTTACAATGACTCTAAGACGTTCGTGGACAAGCCGACGGTCACATCCACCAATGAAACGCTCGAGTATTTCCATTCCATTTTCGAAAGAGGCGTTTCTGGTGGTAATCCAGCCAATCCTATGCTTACGACGACCTATCAACGATTAATAGACTTTGTCAATACCAATTTTGTAAATCTCTCGTCCGAACTCCTATATTCCCCCTAACAGTTTTTCTAGAAAAGCGAAGGACTCGAGCTAGAAGAAATATCCCCATGTGTTATCGACCCATCCCTTAATAACTCCACTCCTTCTTTCCTCTCGCCTACTAGAATTCATGACCCTCTTATGCTCGGGTGGGCTCACATTGTCCATGGATATTGGAGCCAACTCGTGAGATGTTCTAAGCAGGGCGAGATCTGTGATGGAGTCAATTGCGAGGGCACTCATATTCCTATGAATCATACCTTTGTTGTTCCTGGCGGTCGATTTAGAGGCAAGTCCGAGGCTGACAGCAGAAGGGAGAACAAACGAAAGATCTGATGGAGCCTTGCTAGAGCAATATTACTGGGACTCGTATTGGATTATCGAAGCAAGCGATCGAGTTTAGTTGTGGTGCTGATACCTGACTCTCATTATATAGGGACTCCTTCAATCGGAATACTATTCGATCGTCAATTCCATGCTGCAAAATTTTATGGACATGATCGAAAAAATAGGATTTATCCCGAATGGCGGGCGAACATACTATTTAAATCGGAGCCAACCACCCATGTTCATGCGGGTATATAATCATATGTTCAAACTCCAGGACTGTGCCTTGCTCTAACAATAGTGCCTATAGATGGTCCATGCGTATGTCAGTGCAACGAATGATACAGCCATACTCGACCGCGCGCTTCCCCTCGCTGAAGTATGCTGACGAAATCAATCTAATCGTAGCTTTATTCAACTGACTAAGTTCTGTATCCGAGGTCGAGCTGGCATGGTGGTATACTAACCGGACAATCAATGTCACTTCACCGTACACAAATCGTAGCTGGGAGGTTGCGCACTTCGCTGCTGAAAGCACTGCTCCTCGTCCCGAGGTGGGTATCATTCGCTTAACTAACCACACATACAAGCTGGAACACCTTCCACTAAAGGGCTTCATCCAAGATTTCCATGCCGCGAATGGACCCGATATATTAGTACCATTCAGTGAGCAGAAGAAAGCGGATTTATATGCGGAGATTGCGAGCGCGACGGAAAGCGGGTGGGATTTTGCTTCCCGGTAAAGCCCGATAATTCCATACGAGGGCAATGTGGTTTTAACACCAAACCAAAATAGCTGGCTTCGGCAGCCGATGCTAGGAAGCATTGATGATACAATGCCAGCGTTCCGCACGCTGAACGTACGGAGTACAATACCCGTCGACTTAAACAGTGTTCTCTGTGAGCATTTCTTGTGTGCGAGGGTTACCTCTGTAGATAACACGAGGTTCTTATAGACAAGTATAGAATGCTCCTCGCCGACCTATACGAACTTCGCGACTCTAAAGAAGACCAGTGCTTATCCCGTGACCTCCCCCATGCTCAACAACCTAATGACCGGCAGCGTGGGGTGCACCATCGCGCAGTAGCCAGTGTGATCAGAGATGCTATACTCGATCTCTTCTGGGACGCGGATCGCGTAGCCTTTTATGACTTCAACCTCACTTCAAATGCTCGAGGGACAGTCTTCACGCCTGCGACTTTTTGGCCATTCTGGGATGGGATCATTCCTTACGATGTTCTCTCCAGCGAGAAAGTTGCCAAGCAAGCTTTCAGTGGTGTGAGACTCGTGATGGCCAGATATAACGGGACGTTACCTTCTAGCTTCTTCGTCAACGGACAACAGTGGGATGCACCGAAGTTAGTTGGTTCTCGTTCTAACTTTTGGCCCAACCAGGTTAACGGGATATTATGTGCAGTGCCTGGCCACCTCATCAGTTTGTCGCCTTCGAAGCACTACGATCTCTGCCATCAAACATAACGACCACTCTTCTGACCCCTCTTTCGGACACCGTTACTACCTATTCCCTTGTTCCTCCCAATCAACTCGGTTTTAGCGAATCCGAATTACCGCGTCAACCGTATGCTGATAGAGGCTACGCCAGTGGCGATATAAATGAGATTGATTATTATATCGGCGAGAATGAGGCAAGGGTTCTCAGTGGGACAACGGTCATCAACGGGGGTACCGCAGCTATAGGCGAGACTTGGGCAAGCGCTCTTAGCAGGGAACTGGCCAACAGATTCATCTCGAGTGTATTCTGTTCATGGCAAGTATCATCGACTTAATCATCACCAGATCTTTTTGTTGATCGCATTGTTTATTCCAACCACAGGTACTCAACTGGTGGATCAATCCCTGGCCTTTTAACTAGGCTACCTCCCGAGGACTTGGAAGCCACCAACTCGGCTGGTAACGATGGCAATATGTTTGAAAAAACCAATGTGTTTCACATCGATGTTGCCGGCAGCGGAGGCGAATATACGGTCCAAGTAGGCTTCGGCTGGACAAATGGTGTTGGTGAGTCATCCAATCGTAGGCGAGATAATCGGATTTCCGCTCACATTCTTTCGTTGATAAGTTCTCTGGTTCTTATCCAAATTCGGGACGATTCTCGACTCACCGAGATGCCCTGCCATACGGATCGCGCCCACGAAAACGACCACGACTCACTGCGATCTTATCCTTAGCCCTCCCGTGTTTGAAGGACAGCGTCTTGAATCGCCTGTTTGGGGAAAGAGGTATCATATTCGATGGGGCCATCGCATCCACGAACACCGCAATTTTCATTTAACCCGACTGGCCCGATGGTTCCTTCATTAATCCTCCGCTCTCAGATGTACACGCATCTAACAGAACATCTATGTAGTTACGAAAGCCCCCGTGTCAAATTGATGTTGTATTTCGCGCGAACCCATAGTGAAGCGAAATAACCTCGTTATGCCGATCACATTGTAAACTCTTTTCCGGAACTTCAAAGTGAATAGACCTCCGGCGTGGTAGTGCGTTCGTAACTTGTGACATTCTGGGCACACTAGAACGGGAAATGGATGCATCTTTAAGACAAAAAAATAACCAATCGAAGTCCCAAAAGAAAATGTCTATGGGATAGGTTCCAGGGCATCCGACCACGCGTTTAAAGTTCACAGATAAAGGCCTGTTTTGAGATTCATCTCGGTGATGGTTGTTGATGCTGCTCTGAGGTGTGTGATGTCGATGGCGAGGGATCGACGGTTGCCAGGGCGCCAAGGCTGAAAAGGAGAGCATAAGTTGATCAAATCAAGATCAGGCAGTGTTACAAGAGCATTTTTTGTGGCGAACCATCTAACGGTGCAACCCATGCGATAGGGACTGGATCTTCGTAAACATCAGTGATGACTATTGGCTCATTATCTGGGGTTGGGTATCAAACCATGGAGATCGACTTGGTAAACGATACCTTGGCGGCTTTCTGCCGGCCCAAATTCACAGTACTTGACCAGCATTCCGGGCTACCAGACGAGAGCGGATCAGTGGGTCGGCGTCCAAGAAGCATATATGCACCTTGATCTGGGTTTCACTTGTTGTCATGCTAACACTCTCTGCAGGGTGGGGTGAAGGCCAAGACCTAAGAGTGAGGTGCCAGGTGCCAGGTACTTATATGCTGACAACTACCTGCTTGTAGAACCCTGAAAGTGGATCTAGCTTTTGGGGTGGTGGTGGTGGTTTTCTTGTTTCTTTTTGCTTTGGCATGGGCTGTGATCGATTTGGCTAGGTCTGGGATGATGCAGCAATTGAGAGATATTTAACTAGAGGAATCCACGTTCACGCTGTTGGAATTTGTACATGTGGTCTCAGGAACCTTAATGCATAAAATATGGACATTCTGGGAGTCGAACCGCAGAACCCTGCATAGGTACCAAGAGTGTGTTACCATTACACTAAATGCCCACATTAGGTGGAGGTGGTTTCTAACACATGCTTCTTTCATTCGCTTGCTGGACCCTGATACCGATGGCGGACAAAATACTCCCTTTATATTGAATGTGCCGATCCCAGAAGGGTAAGATTTAGAGTTCAGACCTCCCCCATTGCACAATCAATGCAAATCTTGTTGCTTAGGGCTCAATGGGGATTTGGCCCAGGTGGTTGGGGTAAGCTGCCACTCGATGAGTACAACCAGCCATTGTGTTTGGCATCCTCCCTAAACCTGTGGATCAGACATCAGCAAAAGTCCATTATGCTCCAGAGAGTCAGGAGTGCCTGGAGCATGTGGGAGACAAAACAGCAGATTGGGCACTCCTGGAGCCAATAGTGTTCTCCCGGGAGGGAGTTCAGGAGCAGCTGGGAGTGGTGAGGAGTATGCAATGTGGCAGGAGCAGTGGGAGGAAATTTGAAAAATAGGGGATTCTAAAAAGTTGGAAAAAAAATAATTGGGGGAAAAAATCAAAAAAAATCAGGAATCTTGGTCTCACTCCCAGCTGCTCCTGGACCCTTTCAGGAACTTCCAGGAGTATTGAGGAGCAGCTGGGAGTGAGACCAAGAAAAATCAGAACAGTAGAAAATAACAATGCTACAAGGCTTCCCCTCTGAAGGGTTCTGCTTACTATTTGGGCACGGTAACGTTCTGTTCCCCCATTCACCTCAGGCCTCAGTTAGTCTGTCTAAACATAAGCTTTGATGAGCTGTATATTCAATGGAGTAGAGGTAAAAGGCTACTGTGTTAGAGACCAGATCAAGATGAAGGAGTTGTCTCCATGGTGGAGGGCTTCAGCCTCAGCGACTCAGACCAGGAGTGCTGTGCCAAGTTACACGTCTGTGCCCTAATTTACTTACTGGCAACGAGAACTAAAGAGGGATCAATTCTAGTCAATTTTATCACTGAGGTGTAACCTATGTACAAGTTAAGTATATATATAGTTACAGCAAGGGTGGGCCCATGAATGGTGGGGCCAAGCGGAGCGGAGCTAATGGGGTTAAACATTAGCTGACTGAATATTACCAACAAGTCAGGTTATGGGGTTAGCGGAATGGCAGGCGATAACCCAGAAATGGAAAGGAGGGATAGGCCTGAAGGTGGACTTGCAGGGCAAGCAAGTGAATTGCCCAGCAGAGGTGGGAGTGCGCTAGCGGATGTCGGAGCTGTCCAGAAGGCTTTGGGGCTCTGTACTTAGGGAGGCGTAGGTAATATATTGAAAAGAGGGGGTGGTGACCATCGAGGGAGGTGGAGGTGATTGCAGAATACAGGAGCTCCGAGGTTAGTGAAGAAGGAGTGGAGGTAGTCCGGAAGGATCGGAGGTAGTGGAAGACGATGGCTGTGGATGGATATGACATACCGGGCCTTTACAACTACTCTGAGGTATATATATGTAAATTACATATCTTGGCACAAATAAATAAAGAAATAATAGCATCACTATAATGGGAATTATAGTGAAGTAAGGTTAATCCCTTACACCCTCACTTTCCTATTCAATTTTCAGACTTTCCCCTCAATTCAGTTCTCATTATTTCTCCATCATTTCTTCCTCAATTTGCAAATAATTATATATCCTGAAAATTTTGATTTTTTCCCTAATTATTTTTTTCAACTTTTTAGAAGTCCCTATTTTTCAAAATTTCCTCATTTCCCCCCTCATTTCCCCCTCCTCCATATTCTGCAAGCCCAAAAGTGATTAAGTTGCCAGATTAATCATATATCAGGCCATAAATTTTGATTGTATATTAGTGAGTCTCAGTGTCCTTGATATATAGTATAGTGTTTGATCTAAATGTTAAGCAGTGTCTTGTTGTGTTAGTCTTGTGGTAGGAGGCATTCATGGGAGATCTTCCCTCTTTTTTCCTTTTCATTTACAAATGCTCCAGGAGCTCCCAGAAGCTTCTCACCCCTATACACTTTGAAGCATTTAAATTGTATTTACTGGATATGTTTGTGCACAAAGCAATGCTCCATGCCCTCCTGGGAGTGCCCTGGAGTACCTGGCCAACTCCAGAGGAAATGAGCTGTTCCTGGACCAACCAATCTCCTCCTGATTCTCCCAGTGCTCTCCATATTCTGGAGCACTCAGGAGCATAACAATATTTTGCTGATGGAGTGTGAGTGAACACTCCAAGTTTTGGACGTTGTCATTGTCATGATTTTAGTCTGGTGAGCCAATTGATCATACCATATGGGGAGATCGACATGACCAATTATCCAGGTGGCACACTGGTAGAGCCAAAAATCGACAAATTCAACCACCTGAAGTTAGTGCTGGAAGGAATGGAAGGATTAAGTGGGTCAGACTGACAGCAGATCAGGTAGAGAGGAAGTGTGAACAGCTCATGGTGCTTACCTTGAACACATTGAATGAGGCTGCAGTGCCAGGAGGCAATGTCAGAGACCAGGTTTGTGTAAGGGATTAACCTTACTTCACTATAATTCTGATTATAGTGATGCTGTTATTTCTTTCTTTATTTGTGCCGAAATATGTAATTTACATATATATATCTTGGAGTAGTTGTAAAGGCTTGGTAGCCTTTTACCTCTACCCCATTGAATATACAGCACATCCAAGCTTATATTTAGATGGACTATCTGAGGCCTGAGGCAAACTGTTGATGAGCAACTTATGATCTTGGAGCTGGACTATAAGTGGGAAGCTCAGTCTCAGCTAATATGTCTGAAGAACTGAATTGTATTACCTATAAGCAGGAAGCTGAAGGTAATGTACATATTGTAAGTTACAACAGTAAAGGAAATAGTAATAAAGGAATGTTATAACTAACCTCAGCTAAGATGTGTGAAGAACTGAGGAAAAAGGAAATGAATTCAGATGAATATATCCATGGCCTGGCATGGGTTAGTCCAAAATAATATAAAAGAGGTCTTGTGACTAAGTAGTCACATGGTGGATTCTGGGTGAGTTGCTCTCCCAGAATGTTCCCATGCTAATGCAGGAATGTGGCTGTTCAGGTTAGCTCCATTGGAGTACCCTCATAGCACATGGTTCCTCCAACACAAACAGGGGAATGGAACATTACTGTCCCCAAATAGTAAGCAAACCCTTTCAGTTCAGGATGAACGAGGATGTCCCTGTAAATGGAGGGCTATGGCCTCAGTGACTCTGCCAGGATGTCAGGGTTGTGCATACTCACAACGAAGAAACATCAGGAAACCCCCAAGGCCAATTGAAGTGGTTGAGATCATTTCAGCCTCACATGATTTACAATCACTTCAACTGGGTCCCCTGATTGTAATCACACCAATTATGGGGATGATTGAGCTGATTCAGTGATTGTACAGTTGGTTGTATTGGCATGATATTGTCAGAGACCGGATCGAGATGAAGGATTTGTCTCCATGGCGGAGGGCTTCAGCCTCAGCAACTCAAGCCAGGAGCGCTGTGCCAAGTTACACATCTGTGCCCTAATTTACTTACTGGCAATGAGAACTAAAGGGGGATCAACTCTAGTTGATTTTATTACTGAAGTGTAACCTATGTACAAGTTAGGTATATATAGTTACAGCAAGGGTGGGCCTGTGAATGGCAGGACCGAGTGGAGCAGAGCTAACAGAGTTAAACATTAGCTGACTGAATATTACTGACAAGTCGGGTTACGGGGTTAGTGGAATGGCAGGTGATAACCCCGAAACGGAAAGGAGGGATAGACCTGAAGGTGGACTTGCAGGGCAAGCAAGTGAATTGCCCAGTGGAGGCAGGAGGGCACTAGCGGACATTGGAGCTGTCCGGAAGCCTTCAGGGCTCCGTACTTAGGGAGGTGTAGGTAATATATTGAAAAGAGGGGGTGGTGACCATCAAGGGAAGCGGAGGTGATTGCGGAATATGGGAGCTCCGAGGTTAGTGAAGAAGGAGCAGAGGTAGTCCGGAAAGATCGGAGGTAGTGGAAGTTGATGGCTGTGGATGGATATGACAGATATCACATTCTCTCCCACATTGAAGTTTATCAATAAAGTTATTATATTTGAACATGTATGTTGCATACATATGTACTTAGGAAAAGAACCCAGATACAAGTTATTACAGTACCCAAACGCAATGTAATGCAAAACGAAACACAAAATAAAGAGAAGATGAAGTGGGTGAAAATACAATGTAATCAAAGAAAGCAGACACGCACCTCAACCGCTGAACCGTTTAACACCAGACCCGGCATAAAGGTAGAGCTAGTTATCTTCTATCAAACAAGCCTAAGATCGTCGGAAACGGATGAGTGGTTGTCGAGTACATGTGGTAAGAAGTTGGGGATTCACACATGAGAAGTTTGGTTAGAAGTTGGAAATGACATGGAAAAAAACATACAAAAATCATGGGAAGGGAGGGGGATGTATCAGAGGGTATTGGGGAAGGGTCAGGCAATCGCAGAATGGTGGTGGCTCATGTAAACAAGCACAAGAGGGGGTTAGGTGGTCAGTTTAGCAACAAACACAGTGAACTGCCATACTTATGACTCAACATACAACACAGGGTAGTTTTGGGTGGCAAACCCACCCTCATTCTTTCTTTTTCAAGTAAGGAACATCTGGGGTGGAGTAAAAAACATCGTTTTGTGAATGCAACTGGAAAAAAAAAAAGAAAAAAGAGACACACATCATCATGTTTGTTCATGCAGTCCCCACAGCTCAGTTTGTTTGGGTATTGTAAGTTGTTAATT